TGCCAAGCACATGGTGACACTGTTTGAGATGGAGCTCTTGAAGTGAGTGTGGTTGGTGTCTCTTTTCTCTTTTTTTCCTCAAAAAAAAAAAAAACCGCAAACACAAAAGTCTTTAAGGCCTATTTAAAAGCAATTAAATTTTTGTGTGCCATTCTGACTAGGCATAAAACTATTTGTATATATTTAAAAATAATTATTAATGTTACAATTGGATTGTTAGTTGAACTAATCTAGTGGGATCTTTATCATAAAGTTTATAGTAATCTTTTTCTGGTTGCCTTTCTAAGTCTTGATCTCTCTTTATTGTTTTCAATTCTTAGATTTGAGGTCTAAGACTGATTTTTATCTCAACTGGACATGACTTTAATTCTCCTGTCCCTATGCTGCTGTACAGCTGCTCTCTGCAGGAGACCTTTATTAGAGGTTGGAAGAAAATGTATGGGCCTGAGGAGCTTTCATTCCCTTCTGCTCTGACTCAGTTGTATTGGATGACAGTCCAGATAGCTGTATTGGACTCAGTATTCTGCTGACTCAGTTGTCTTGATGACAGTCCTGAAGCTCCATCATCCAAAAAACATAGGCAGGAGCAAGAATACAACTGCAGAACAGTGACTGAAACAGCAGTGCTCTGCTCAGAGGCCTGGCTTCTGCTTTAAAGTTTTGTTTGTAAAGAAGCTCATGTAAGGAACATAGTAGAGTTCCTCTTTTATACATGTGATCAAGTGATCTTTGTATTTGTTAAAGAGTGACCTCAACTCTATTTTCAGTTTGATTTACTGCATGTAATGGCCTCAGTGCTTCCTTCACCTCTCCATGTAATGCCTGGATAGATTTCCATAGAACTTACCTGAAAACTATCAAGGAAAAAAAAATCACAGCCATTCTTCAGTTTCTCTTTTTTTATTTGTATGTTGAAGGGTAACTTAGGCATTTAGAAAAAGGTTGAGTCCCTGTTCCAGGAACATGCAGAGCACTTGCTCCAGTGGAGTTTTCTGTCTCTGACTGCTGACTGTTGTGTTTACAGGTGATGGAGCAGCTGCAGGTAGCTATGGCTACACCAACAGTGGGTACAGTGTTTATGAAGAAGAGAATGACAGGTTAACAGAAAGTCTGCGYACRAAAGTCAGTGCCATTAAATCGGTATGTATTCTGTTACAGGGGTATAGTCACATTTATTGAATTAAATTATATGAATCAGGGAAGCAGCAGACTTAGTTTAAAACAGAAATTTAAAACTGTGGTGTGTTAACCTGGTTGGATTCCAGGTGACCACCAAAGCTGCTCTATCACTCCTCAGGTGGGTGGATGAGGGAGGAAAAAGTCCAATGAAAGGTTGGTGCATCAAGACAAGGGCAGGGAGAGATCATTCACTAATTACCATCATGGGCAAAACAGACTCGATTTGGGGAAATGAATTTATTGACAGTCAAACCAGTAGGGTAATGAGAAATAAAATCTTAAAATGCTTTCMTCCTACTCCTCCCTTCTTCCTGGGCTGAGCTTCACTCCCAGTTTTCTCTACTTACTACCCTTCAGTGGTGCAGGGGAACMGGGAATGGGAGTTGCAGTCAAAAGAATATGCAGTGTGGAAATAGCTCTTAGAAATAGTATGCTAGTATCATGGTTGGTGTTCTAATGATTCTGAATCCTTTCAGAGATTGAGGACTTCTTTAAATAAGCCTAATTGAAAGACAGCTCTGAGATTAAAATTATGTGGTTTTCTTGTTCTTAAAAGCTGAAAGTTTTCTGAAATACATTCCAATTCATTTTTAGGCCTGAACTCATTTAAAGTCCTACTGCTAATACTATTGCTTAAAATTGGTTTAGTCTCAAAGAGAAGTTGAACAGGATTAGAGTAAGAATTTAGAACAAGTTAAGGGGTAAAAAAARGCTTTGACCTTTGTAATCAAATTTYATTTCTTGTCTCCTCCTTTGGTATGTTACATTTCAAAATCCTGGTATGTCAACAGCGCAGTTGATGGTGCCCCAAGGAGCTCTTTCTGAAGTTGCATCTTTTAGTGCAGTGTGATAATCTTGGCACATGAATAGCCTTCACATAATCTTCCAAGAAGCCTCATGTAAAATCAGTTTTACTTTTGACTGAAATGCTTCAGTAGAGAATAAGATTCATGTTGTAACCTGTGAAAACAAATGGGTTTTGGCTAACACAAAGCATGGAGGCCTGGAGTGCATTTCCCTCCATCCGAGGAGTTGAGCTGGTTGTTCAAGGCCAGTGTGCTGATAAAAAAGAGGAAAAGCTGCTGAGTCAGGCTCAGTGCCAGTTCTCCCCTGTTTAACTCCAGAGCTGCTTTAAACCAACGCTCTTCTGGCTGGCTCCCACCTTTGCAATGTTGCAGCTGTGTTGCAGCTCCAGTTGTGCCTGGTTTCATACCTCCCTGATTCCAGCCCTAACCTGACTTAACTTCCTGGCTTGCCCTGGGACCTGTCTCAGAACTGGCTCTCCCTGGCCTGTGCAGATTTTCTCCTTGTCCTGTGTTGCCCTTCTGTTCTGTGTGACACAAAGCAGAGAAGGGCTACACAAGTTCACTGAAGAAAGTCCCATTTATAGCACAGCAACAGCTTGTCAAGAGATGTGTTTTCAGGTTACAAGTGTCAACTCCAGCAACACTCAGTCAAACCACTGCTCGAGGTTCTCTCTGCTTTATGTCAGCAATTTCAACAGTTGTTCCAGGAAATGGGTAATTGCTACTTCAGACTTGACTAGATCTTGAATTTTTAAGAGTCCATGCACTAATTCAAGTAAGACATTATCTGGAAAAGGGGAATAGGGGCATTGAGTACTTTCTGTGACTCTGTAGACTCATCTAGTCAGATGGAAAACCTTTATTTCGTTAAGGGTTATTGATATAATACGGTGCATGTTATTTTGTTTTTTGAAAGCATCAGGTACTGCTTTCACAATTTACCTGGGGAAATGCTAGTCATGTCATGTATTTTGGATTGGGTTCTCTAATCTATGTATAACTGGTTATTCATATTTCATACTTTTGTTTTTTGTTTCTTTTTTATAGCTTTCCATTGAAATTGGAACAGAAGTTAAAAACCAGAATAAAATATTATCAGAAATGGTATGTATTTAAAACCTAGATTTCCTTAAATATGGGTCAGGATTAAGAAGTTAATAATACAAAGCATCCCATCTTTTAGTATGAACATTTGTATTAAAATGTTGACAGCTTATTGTTGACTATAACATGTGACCAATTTGASAAGAGTATTTCTGTTCAAAAAGWTAAGATGTGCAAATACATTACTTKTAAGACACAACCAAGCTCMTTTGGCTTCAGWTATCACTATGGGTTTTCATTTACCMAATGTATATTATCATTAAAAAGACACTGCTATTTTTAATTGTATTCCAGAATAGAAGAAGAAAGCAAAAAATAATGAAGTCAGAAACTCCTCTTTTGCTTTGGCTTGGGGAAAAAATAGCACTAGGTAAATGGATGAAGGTTTTTCCTGGTTAATTTTTGCCTCTAATTTTACTTTTGGAAATTTTGAAAAAACAAGGAAAACTACACTTAGTGAGCTGTAAGGATATTTAATTTCTCAGAGTAACATGTTTTTTGTTGTTTTGTTTGCTTCTTTATTTTTTTTAAATGTAGGAGAATGATTTTGACTCCACGGGCGGACTTCTAGGTGCAACTATGGGCAGACTGAGAACACTCTCCAGAGGAAGCCAGACAAAACTATTATGCTACATGATGCTCTTTTCATTGTTTGTTTTCTTTGTAATATACTGGATTATTAAACTGAGGTGATTCTTGTTACCTCTGGTTTACATTGTGTAATTTCAACTTACAGTCTTAATTAATGAAGACATTGATCTAAAGTGGCATTTCTGTTGATAAAACACAGTGAAATTGTTGTAAATTGCATTAACTATTAATGCGAAGTTATATATAGTTTTCTTAATGTATCGGAATTTTTCCATCATCCCCTGTTTTGGGGGGATTATTTGTAAATATGCAGAAAACACTAGCAAACCATAGATTTTTTTTTTTTTTTTTAGGGAAAAATAGTTTTTAGAATTGATTAAAAAAATTTAAAAACCAATGGTTGTTTGAGTATGAAGTAATTGAAGAATTTCAAGACTTTCTTTTTCATTCTGCTTTTCATTCTGGGCCATGCTCTAAATTAGAGCTCCAGTGTCAGGCATATAGTAATTCCTAGGTTGCAAAAGCATGAAGAATACTTGGATCTTTCTAAATAGGCCTTACCTGTGTATTTTTAAAACACTGGCCTGAAACTAACAGTAGTGATACCCCCAAAAATTACTTTTGTGGTTAGATGTGATAGTGTTTAAGTAGCTTTAACTGTGTATTCTGGGGAAAAGTTACTTAAAACTGGATTTTTATTTTTTCAATTTCAATGTGACAAATCATGTTTACACATCTACTCTTTTAAGCAAATGCCTTTGCTCATCAGGACCAACCAATATGGACATAGTATAGATATTTTCTTTATATTAAAAGTATCTAAAACTTAATGATTCCATTGAATCACTCAAACTTTTACCATTAGTATGTTTCAATTTGTGATAGGTCCTAATTCTACAATACATGATGTCTGAAATACAATGGCAGAACTTTGTATTTTCTATTAAAGTATATTATGATGCACTTGTTGGAGGTGTAGTCCCAATAAGGTCCTTTATTTTGAAGATTTAGCTTTGGCTCACCAAGTAGTGAGGCTATTACATTGCTGAGTTTAACATTCAAAAAAATTCTAAGTTTTCTAGATATTGAAATTGTATCTACAATTTTTAAAAAACTTTTCTAGAAATACTGTATAATGTGTTGCCATTAATGACCAATTATGAACTTACCAATAAAGTGTCCTGTAGTATTATCCTAGCTAGTGGTTTTATATACATTTTTTTCCTACTGTAGAATACCAGTATATATTTTTAAATAGTGCTGCATTTAAGGGGCAATTAATCAATAATACGGGCTGCTTCTTCTGACTTAAATGGCTGTTTTAGGTAAGTTCAAGTAATTATGCACAGCTTTCATATTAACATGTTTATTTTTAATATTTTTCTTTAATAATTAAGCACAAAAGATGGTACATTGCTGCTGAAGTTCAGGCCTCCAAAAGCTTCAGACACAATTAAACAGTTGTTTGCAGAATTCTGTAGCAAAAACCAAAGTCTATTCCCATCACCAAAAATCTATGACAGTGTGTAGTACAAATTGATATGGATTTGGTAAAGAGGACAGCTCACTTTGATGATTGCTTGCTAAAAGTGAAAGAGGGAAGGTACCTGTAATTGAGAGGAAAGGCACTGTTCTTGGGTTTGGTTGTGGCAGGGAGTCATTTGTGCCTTAATTATTGATCTTGAAAGCAAAGCTGTGTACTGAACTTAGATTAAGCTGCTTATGAAATCATAGCTGTATTCATATGGAAGTTCTGTTTCTTAATTAGCAGCTTTAGATTCTCTAAAGTGTAGGTAAAGCTTGATTAAAGAACTCATTTTTTCTGTATGCTTAGCATGGGTCATTGGAAAACCTAAGTAGCCCACTGAAACAATGGAATGCAGGAGGCTGCAACTTTTCAGAGTGTTTCATATCAACAAAAAATTGGCACTGGAGAACACAGAATGGTAATGGTGAAAGACCTTGATGTGCATTTTGATGGCAAATTAGTGATCTGTTTTCTTCTTGAAACGTACTGGCTGCGTGTCACCTTCAGTGTGCAGTACAAGTCATGCTGTCGCTTTCTTAATTTTCAAGGAAGAGTGGAAATGCGTCACTTTCTTGGAAGTATTTCCATGTATTTGCATATGATGGAAAGCATGGTCTCATCTGTGCCACCTCCTATTGATATCAATCGCAAGTCTCTGCAGAAATACAAAAGGTAGATTTAAACATTTGCATGCTGTTCTGATGGTGCTCTGCTGGACAGCTTGCCCACAATATTTACACATTGCATATGAACACCAGATGCCTGCAGAACACCTCATCCACTGCCTCTTGGGCTGGTGGTCTGTGATACTTCCCTCAACACCCCTAGTCCTATCCCAAACCTGTAGGTGCCTAAGCCTGAAGTTGAACTGTAGGAGGGGAGAGAGCTTTTCCATGGCCAACAGCAAAAAGCATTGCATTGCTTAAATTTGCTTAACTGGTAAAAGAGTCAACCAGCATATGAGGTGTTGGAGAATTGTACAGAAATGGTACAATTTCCAGTCAAGGTTTTTAACCAATCCTGGTTTCCCTAATGGCTATGTAAGATCTGGTAGAAGCCTTATTAGTATTATATAGTCCTTTAATATTATGTAGAATAATAATATTAGTGTTGTATAATATTCTAGTACAGTTTTATATAGTCTGTAAAGCTGTGCTTTAAAAATGTGTGGCTGCTTCAAGAATATTTACTTTTGAGATTTCTAATCCCACTCATTTTAAACCTACCATTACTATCATTAAGTCATCCCTAACAGGATTAGGGATGACTAATCTAAGTTCCCTGTGCTAGCCAGAATGCAAACTACTGCAACCTCAAGCAATTTTACTCACAAATTTCTTTCCTCCTTTGGGAAGAAGAAAAACACCACCATCACACCAATAAAACCACCATAACAGTTCTGCTAAACTATCTCTACTCAGTAAGCTGAAAATTCCCCACCTTCCTATGGGCCTTGCTGAAGGCAGCAGACCTGAAACAGTGGTAGGTTGCTGCTTCTTAGTGCTGCAGTGCTGGCTGCTTTGTCAAGCTTCAGAAAGCCCCTGCCAACGCTCAGCATTTGGCATCTTCACTGTAGCAACAGCAAGTAACTAATCCTCAGAACTCCTCTGTGATGTCAACAGAAATCCTCTATCTGCAGCAGGAATCCTGGACACATGGAGCTTGTTTATATGAAGTTATAAATAGGCAGTGGTAAGATCTGGCTTTGGTTGTGTGTGTGACAGACTAGTCAGGCTGTCATGTATAAAGACTCATCTTAAACTAAACTTGCACATGTTTTGTCCTTGTATCTACRAATTTGCTGATATTTTTGTCTCTRTGGGTGAGATAAGGARTATTTCTTAGAGAATCTACAGCYGGCTGATCTCTCCCCTGGGGACACMGKACAGAATGTTTCCCCTAACTTAAGCGGATTAAGATGACAAAAGACTCAAATGATTTTAATCTAGCAGCCCACTTCTGGGAAAGAAACTTGCTTTCAGCATAAGAAAACAAAACCATGGGATTAACTATCCTGCCAGAAACTCTGTAAGGGAGCTGGGGTAGAGGACATAGTAAAATAAGCTTGTTTATAAGTTGATTATGCTTAGCATTTGATTATTTTGTATTCAGACTGTAATATCAATACAGCACATAAATATCCTAATATACATAAATACTAGGATTTAATTGCTTTTGTAAGGGGTATTGTTAGACTACTGCAGGAAGGCTTTTGATCTGGCACAGTAAAATTTTGCTTTTGATTACTGCATCACCTTGTTGCTGCCCCATGACCCTGCAGCCCTGCTGAGGTGAGAACATCAACCTGTGGGGGCTTAAGCCTGCACAAGGACTGTGAGGAATCAGCCTGCAACACACCACACAGTTTGTAAAAGTGTTATTTTGAGGGACCAAATCTCTAGCTGCTTGTTGAACGTTGTTGAATGCTGTTTTCTTCAGAGAGTGGGAGTTAGCCTGAGGAAGATGAGAAATTCAATTACTGTGTTCTGTCCTTCTAAAATACTCCCTGCAAAGAGTTTCCTCTCATTCAAAAAAATCCTGAAATATTCACTGTCTGAAATATTCACTGTAGATTATAAGACTTACTCTACTCAACCAAATCAAGAGGTGTAAATGCTAAAAATGAACTGACTTTTTGATGAATAAAAGCAAAAAATTCTTCAATGTCAAGTTAAAAAATTGCCCTTAGGAAGGAGGGTGAGGAGCCATTCCCACCCACCAGACTCAACCCAGATTATCAATAATTTCTAGTTAGGTAGCAACAGGAACAAAAGCAAGTCCTCCACATCATCAAATCATGTTTCCCATCTCCATCGGAGCCATGTCATACAGCCTTCAGAAATGTATCAAGCACTGCGTGAAGGAGAAGCAAGCTCCCTTTTATGTTGGACTACCCTAATTTGAAGGCTATCAGGTAACAAAGCTTTTCTGATGATTAGGAACCCTCTGACTAAAAGCTTGAATGTGTTTCTGAGTAGAGGAATCCAATATAGTCTGCAATTTAACATTCCCCTGTTGGCTGGTGTTGGCCCCTCTGCACCCTGAGCACCATTTGGGTCTTGTTTTGCACAAGCTAAGACATGTCTATTACCCTGCCTGTAAAACTTGGGGTCCCAGTTTTCCTGAAAATTGGGGCTGGTCCTTATCCCAGTCTGAGCCCTCCCTTGCGTGTGATTTCCTTAGCCATGAAGCAGAGACTGGTACCCAATCACAACACAAGGGAAGTTTTAGATCTTGTGTTAAAGAGGTGCTAAAGTTGCAGCTTATGGCACACTAAATCTGTCTGTAGCATCAAGTTGACAAAATGTGATCATTTTTGGAGTTGTGCCTTCCAGTAGCATTTATTACCTGCCCTGGGAGGTGCTCTACACTGCATTTTCCTCTGGAAAACCAAATGGCACTGGATTGAACAATCTCTCTGTTCACAAACACTCTGAGAGGAGCCTGCTGCACTATCTTTGATGCAGATATCTTCACAAAACTTCAAACTCCTGAGAAAATTAAGTAATTTTCTTTCCCTTTTCTGGCAGTGATCAGTGCTGGTCAGACATAGGGAAGAAAGTGGTTTTGGTGACTTTAGCCCTAATTTCCCCTAACAGCCTGTCTTCACGGCAACAGTCCCTCAGAGATGCTGCTCTCTGCTCCACTGGTAAAAAGGCCATTGGTAAATCCTTACCAAGGTTTGTGTGGCTGAGAGTACCTATGCTTCCACTGCTTCTTTTCAGCACAAACTGCACTTGATTACAAAACCTTTACCCTTTTTCCCTCATGACTAACAATATTTAGGTTTTAACTATTTTAAGGTTTTATTACTGTCAAGAACCTTCCCCAGAAAATGTTCTGATACATCCTCAAGCCTAGTATTTTGGGACTTCTTCCATCTTCTGGCTCAGCTCAATTGCCTATAGGCTGTTCAAATCAAGCAGAATCTAAAGGAGGCTTTGTTCTAGAGAGAGGAGTTTGAGCTGATGCCACCCAGTGCAGCAAGCCTCTGACCAGGCTGGCACAGCCCACAGCCGTGCCTGCCAGTTCCCATGACCCTGTCCCTTGCCCCTCAGGGACATTCTGAAAGCTCAGCTGTGGCAATGGGCTTGGCCTGCTCTGGAGCTTACTCTGCTTTAAAGTCATCACTGCACAGTTAGCAGCTTTGATTTGCTGTCTTAAAGGTAGATGTCATGTGCTTCATCTCCTAAATTCTTCCTCAAGATTCTCATAAAGGTCAAAAAAAGTGGTAGACAGGCATCTGTCTCAAAACCTCTGCAGAGAAAGGAGGAAACTGCAGATTTCGTTTCACAGATGACAAGAATAGATATTAAGACTTGTCTCAGCAGTTAGCTACAGACTTCAAAGCAAATTGTTTTTGTCAGCAGAAATGGATAGGTTTCATTTTGTTTGGTACAACCATAAATTGCTATAATGAAAAAAACTGATTAAACCCCCCCAATTGTCTAGACTCAGTCAACTTTAGACATTTTTTGTAAAGAATCAAAGACTATAAATAATGAAACAAAGAATAAAACTGAATAAAGTATTTGAACTGACTTTAAAAAATGTCTAGATGGAAATGCACTACTTATAAAAAAATCCACTTGAAACTATACAGAAGTTTTTAAACTATCCTCAGTTACAAATAGACCTTCATACTGCAGTAACCATGCAACAGTTGAGAAAAATGCAAATATGTGCCTTCTCCAGCTATGCATTTGCAAGCCTACTTACTTTTCTATTTCACGAGTAGTCAATATTTTTCACTACTGCTTTCTCAAGTCTTTCACAATGCCGCATGTAAAAAAATTATAGAATTCTCCCCATCATAGCCCACAAGTGCAAAACTTGTAAAAACTGGAAGCTATTAGACATGGTGTTTAGCAGTTAGTAACAATCTTAATGAAAAAAAAAAACAACCCCCAACAAGCTCTTTTAAGATGTTTTCAGAAGTTCTTCTTATAACAATTGAAGTGTACATAATTACTACTAAAATACTTCGTTGACTACCTGAAATTTTTTTAGCTCCTGAAAAATTAAAATAAACTTGATATTTGGTTTTCTTTCCTCTGATCCCTCATACTCTGGGGTTTTCATACAGATGACGGGGTTGTTCAATAATTGATTTTTGCCAAGTCATGATGTCTTTGAGGCCTTTCAGACAAGTGAGAGACAAACAAACAAGCAAACAGGCTAGTCTGACTCCAGGCTAGTCCTTTCCTCCAGAAACATGCTCTTAGGGTACAGTCTGGAAAGCCCATTCTTTATGGGTTTTATATTGACTTACATTTTTCTATGAAACCCTTTGATATTTGGGCTCTTTTTCTTTTTAAAACTATTCTCCTTATAGAATCTGTACAAATGAAAATGAGACATTTACATATATAAAATCAGCCCAGAATAGGCCCCTATATAGTGAAGCAGTTTTCTTTATGCCTTCTAGAGAATGCTGCACTTTAGAAACGCCAGTTGTTCTATGAAGTTTAAAATGTTAATGATTAAATGATAGCTATTAATAAAGTAACTTGGCAAGCTTTGCGCTGTTTCTGTTTATTATCTCTAACTGACACTAATAACTAAATTTCAAAGTGTTTATGCACTAACCATGCGTTGTGCTGTGTGTTCTTTGAGGAGTAACAGACTCAGTCAAAGACTGAACAACATTTCTTTGGAATCTTCGTAAAGATTATGCTACAAAAATGTTGGTAGATTAGGACTAGATATTCTGTGCAATCGTACTGCTGCTACTGGACAAACATCACAGTGACGTGAGTGGTTACTCAGGCTGCTGTACTAAAAAGAGTGGCTTTGGGAAAGTTGCTGCTTTGCTTATTGTTACAGATTAGCAAGATTCTTACTTGAACGTGTAATTGTTTGTTTAGGTAATTCTCTACTTGCCTCTTCCTGGACCTTTGGTTACTCAGTGATGGAATTTTACTGATTCACAGAAAATTTTAGAGTATAAATATCACGCCACCTTTAACCTCATTTACAATAGTGTTTTAGAGGTAGAAAGATACATTTATTTAGCCAGCTGACTGTGTACACTGACAGAAAACACTCTGGATTTCTTCTCAGGAAAAATGTGACTGTGCTGGTATACTTGGAAACCACTCTGGAATCCACATGGAAAAGCCCTGCTCACAGTTAGCAATACCATACTGGGCTAGGAAATCTTAAAACAAAGCTATGTAAAAGCACTCACACATTAACCTGTACAGACTACAGCATTTACAGTAAGTGCTTAAAGACAAGGATTCATTTTATTCAGAGTGCCTACTGTAGTAACTCATAACATCTCCATCATCAGGGACCATTAGTTGTTATATAAGATTCTGAAAAGAATAAGTGAGAAAAACCATGATATTGCCAGCTGGCTTGAAACCACCATCATAAAGCAGTCTGTATCTTTGTTGGAAAACTTCAGGAATCCACTCATCAAAAAACATTGAGGATCTCTCTGACCTAGTGTAATGGCATTCTTGTGCATAAAATTCTATTAAAAATAGAAAAAGTAACTCAACCTACCTAAGAAGAAACAAGCTTCTTGCAGATTTTCTCAAGTGCTCTCTCACTTTACACAAATGCATTTACCAAAACTTTCAACTAACTGAATCACTTATTTGACTGACTTTGGATTAGGTGATGTCTATGTAAGGGCTGAGCAGAAAGCTGTTACTGCAAGAGAATCCAAGGTTGGTTCTGATATTTCTACAGAATGTAAGACACTGGGGCCAGATATCAAGAAAGCTGTTTGCTGAAGGAGAATTTTGCTCTAGGTAGATACAAGCTAAAATTTGAAGGGGCTTCAATTAATTTGCAAAAAGGCCTCTGTACCATTGTAATGATCTAACAGCTCGCTGGAAGCAATTACATCTCTCAAATGCCTCACATGGGATTATCTAGTGTGACTAAGCGGGTGGAGACTGCTGTCAGAAGAACTACTGCAGAAGCCAAGTGGGGAACTCCAGTTTCACACATATCTGGGAAAAAAAGATAAAGCTGATTTTCATTCATTTTAGAAGAAAGCTTCTGGTTTTCATTCTGTTCTTGAAATCAAGATTATGAGCAAGCAAAGAGAAAAAAAAAATCTCTTTGGTAGCTCTCCATTTTTTCCCCTCTTTGTTCTACTCTGTGGCACATACCAGAGGACCATTAAGGGAAATACTGAGTTTTCTTCGTTCATTTGACATTTAAGCTAACCTGTGGGTAGTTCAAGCTTCACAATTGTTATGCAAAGCCAAGACTTGGCAAAGGAATAGTAAGCCTATGTCCTGACATATCTCCCCAAAGTTAATTGCACTGGGTGTCCTTGCATCCACAATGCATTTCAGTGACATGCCATGAAGTGGAGCAAGACCATTCACACTGGTGAGGTCTTTTCAAGTAGGTGATCATTTAACAGGACATTTAAGAGGCTAAATTTCATTTAAAGACACTTTGTATTTTCATCACTCCTTACCTGTAAAACCTGCTCACCAGAACTTCACTGGTGAATCCCATTCCTCCCCAAAACTGGAGACAGCTGTCAGTCACTTCGCGGGTCAGACGACCTGCCTTCAGCTTAGCCATGGAAGCAAATTTTGTCACATCATTGCCTTCTATATAGAGACCTAATAAAAAAAAAAGAAAGATAAAAAAGCAGTCACTCTGGAAATCATCCCCAATGTTCCTTTAGCCTGACAAGATTCTTTGCATGGACAGAAGCACATCTGGGAAGCAGATGTGGGGCTCACCCACGGCACGGTGCAGCAGCGAGCGCAGCAGCTCCACTTCAGTGGCCATCTCGGCCAGGCGGAAATGCACGATTTGGTTGTGCAGGACAGGCTGGCCAAACACCTTCCGCTGGCGGGTGTAGTCAATAGTTTCTTGTATTACTGTTTCCAGTGGTTTCAGGGCTTGAAGAAACAAAGCACAGAACAAGACCATTTTAGCCAGTCCTGTTTTTTAGCTTCTTGTTGGAAAAGGTTTTTTTCATGTTGTACAACCAACACATTAGGTTTTCTAGAGCAAATCGTTCTGTACACTCAGTTTGGGGTGTAACTTCAATTCTGAAAAAAAAGTTTGGTACTTCCTTGTACCCTGAAGACATCTATCTCACCTGAGCCCCAAATTGCCAAAACTTGGAGGAGAGGAAAGGGTGGTGGATAGGAAGGAGTGAAAGTCATAGAAAGCAGTACAATGTGATGAGGTAAACTTCATGTTCTCTGTTTCATTTGGGGCCTTAGCAAAAGCTTGTGACCACTCCTACTTTCCACGCTGCCTGTGCCCTGAAGGTTTGTTACAATCCTGGAAAAAAAAATCTGAAGGCAGACAGTGTAGTGTGCTCAGTAAGGACTGCTGCAGAAATGTAAATTGAAGGAAGCCTTCAGGGAGAAGGCAGAAACCTGTTCTGAGATCAAGGAACACAAATAGACTGCTTATTAATCTGCATTCTGTGATCAGATCCCAGCATAGAGAGGAAAAGACTCCCATTCACTTTAAATAATTCTAATGGAAACAGAATGAAAATAGGATACTGCTGGAAAACAGGTGACAGAGATGGCAGACAATACTTTTAAGCAAAAGAACTGTTCTGCTGCTTTTCTTTGTGCAAACTGACACACATCACATTTTAAAAGAAAAAAAAAAAAGTTTMTTTTCCAGGGAAAATCACCCTTTAAGTGAATGACTATGCTATCAGTCTCTTGCAGCATAGCTGGGATGACAGCAGGTGCAGAATATGTGGAGAATTTTGTTTGGCGAACATGGACCCATGYTACCATGAAAAGCAGCAGGGAATGATTTCACAAATCTATCTGTATGAGAAGGGTCACATTTTCTCWTTTCAAAATATGCATACCCACATCCATTTACATTTAGAGTCTAAATCACAAAACTCTGAATCTGAAATGTAAAATAAAGTCAAGCCTTGGACTACTATAAAATCCCTTTTCCTACCTTACTCACATGGCAGCCCCTTTCAGAAGCTTGGTGTGGCTTCATGTTCCTTTTCACATTGCAGAATCCCTCCTATTTAAATTTCATCTCAGTACTGCTCTCCTGTGTACACTCTGCATCCCACCAATTGCCTCCTGCCATGATCATTCACCACTGCTCCCACAGAGCACCATTTTTCACAGGATGTCTCCACATTCCGTAAGGTTATCAGTTTTTCTCCATCCCTTAATAATTTACCCTCCTTTCTCATACAATTAATCTCAATGCTTATATTTCAGAAAAGCATCTTTTATATTTCAGAAGAGCATTCAGTAGAGCATCATGGCTCAGACTGGGGTTCTGGGAAAACCACTCTCGTAATGTCCACCTCTCCATTGCCTCCTTCCTGACCCTCCTGATCCATCCTCCTGTTTCCTTAGTTGCCATCACTGTCCTTATTTTAAGAACTGTCATTTGCACACAGAAACAAACAGAAGAAATCTAAAGACAGCCCTGCTTCAAAAGAGGCCACCAGGTCAAGGGACATGATTGTCTCTTCCCTGTTTTCCCGAGAGCCCACCTGGAGTACTGCATCCAGCTCTGGAGCCCACAGTACACAGCACACACTGATCTGTTGGAGCAGCTCCAGAGGTGGGTTCTAAAGAAGATTAAAGGACTGGAGCACCTCTCCCTTGAGGATAGGCTGAGAGAGTTGGGGTTGTTCAGCCTGGAGCAGTGCAGGCTCTGGGGAGACCTTATTACATTATTTTGATATATAAAGGGAGCTTATATGAAAGATGGGGACAGACTTTTTTTTATCAGAGTCTGTAGTCACAGGAGAAGGGGCATTAATTTTAAATTGAAATAAGGTAGATTTAGACTGAACATAAAGAAGAATGTTTTGGAATTGCAACTGGATGATCTATAGGGTCCCTTTCAGCCCAAAACACTCTGTCATTCCATGATTCTAAGAAATTCCTTATGATGAGAGTGGTGAGACACTGGAACACATTGCCCAGAGAAGCTGTGGATGCCCCATGGCACATCCATTCCCTCCACATATTCAAGGCCAAGATGGGTGGGGCTTTGAGCAACCTGGTTCAGTGAAAGGTGTCCCTGCCCATGGTGGAGGGGGTGGACAATGATGAATTTTAAAGGTTCCTTTCCAAACCATTCTGTGATGCTGACCACAGGTATTCAGAGCTCTGAGCACAGCTCTAACATGGCAAAGCTTGGCTTTGTGGCAAGCAGCAACAAAATGCAGCACATCATGAATACCAGCCAACAGCCATGTATAAGGTAATTGTAATAATTGCATGATAAGTACACAATACTTTGTCAGTCACACAAGTACCAAGAAATGCCATTCATTATAGGGAAAATAATTTTCTCTCAGAACTATTTTTTCTGTATATTTGAGTCCTTTTTTTTTTT